CATTTTCAATACCAAAAGTCCTGCAGACATAATAAACATTTAAGTAAAATTTTATCGACCTACTTCAGTTCGTTCGGAAGCTAAAGTAATTTCCACAGACGGACGGACATTGATAAATCGACATAGAATTTTATGCTGATCAAGAATATATATACTTTGTGGGGTCTAAAATGTATGCTTCGAAACGGAATGACAAACTTAATATACCCGCCATACTATGGTGGAGGGTATTAAAACAACAATCAAAAACAAAACAATTGAAAAGAAATCGTTTTTAAAGCTATGGGGGTAAAGGCGGAATGGTTCAATGCTGATATTGAATGGGCTGGCAGAGCTGGAAATGTGCGTGTAGCCGTGTGTATGTGTGCATTTGTGTGTTCCAGTCTACTTGTAGCTTCTGATTTGATAAATTTTTATAGATTAAGAAAAAAAAAGAAGAAATAAAGAAAAAACAACTAAACTCGGTCGAGTTCAAAAGGTAAAAGCCAACCGGTAGGTCGTTCCGTAACCACGACGTCGTCGTCATCGTCATCGCAAGAAACAGGATGAAGGTCAACAAGGCTGGCTGTCTTCTTGTCTTGTTCTTGTTGTTGTTGTTGCTGTGGCATCGTATATTCTCCAACGATTTGTATCTTTTTAATTAATGCAAATTTAACAAATTCACTTAAAAGGTGGCTTGCCATCAGACCTTGTGCGTTGCTCTTTCACTCTCTCTCTCTCTCTTTGAGGTGGAGCGTCACATTCAAACGCATCCACCACTCCCCCAACACATTGCCGAGAGCAGAGACAAAATTAATGATGCCTTTCGAGGCACAAACTCAACCGAGTTGCAAATGCCAAAGGATATCATGTTTCTAATAAATCATTGATCACTGGCTGAGGTATCATCGATTCGAGAGAGAGATAGGGAAAAATTGAAAACGGAATTTTCAAATTACATTACAATTTGTCGTTGTTATTGTTGTTTTTGGCTTTTAAATAACTACGCAGTACAGCAATTATTTGTTGAAGGCCATAATTAGGTCATTATTTAAATGGGGAGAAAAAAACGTTCACCTAAGTGACTGTAACATTCCCACGGGAGATATTCGGGTTGTTAATTTAAATAAATTAAATAATGGCTAGCTGGCGGCTTAGCCAGTTAGTCTTTCATTATCAAGTTTTTGGAAGTTTATCATTTTAAGTGAGGGGAATTCCCAAAACTCTTAGAATATTTTAAATGGATTAGAATGGGATTATATGAGGGGTATGTTATATCACATTGCGTAACAATTTAGAACTTTTAGTAGAGTTGTCCTTCCGACGCTACCAATTGCCAAATTTCACTTCCCTGAATTAGAAATAAGAAGTTCCAAAAATAAAATATATTGCACCTAAAAAAACAAGTAAGAAAACATTAAGTTTGGCCGATTCGAACTTTTAATAAAAATAAAAAATTGAAAAATCCAAAATTTTGGTTTCAAAATTTTTATCCATAGACCTTTCCAAAAATTTGAATATTGCGTTAGCGGTTGATAACTATGCTGTTATGATATCGTAACAACAGAGGTATTTGCACAGTGCTGCCATATTTTGCCTCTGTCTTGTCCTATCTTTACACTTCTATGTCTTTGTTTCCGAATTCAAACGTGTCCCACATTAAACTACAAATATGAGTAAGACCGTTTGAACATTGCTTTGAAGCTTTTCAAAACATCATAAAGTGCGTGAAGCCATTGTATGAGGCCATAAAAAACGGGAACCTCTCTCGACAATTTTATACTTCAAGGTTTGTCATCTACCAAATCTTCTTAAATACCAAATTTGAAACAATTTCGTGGGTAAATGAGACTGGGATTATCAAAATACCGAATATCGGTGGATATCGTTATATGTGCGCTATGCGAAAATGTGGACCTATACATAATATATTCCGTCACAGGAACTAGAACCTATTACGAACTACAAATACAAATTTATGGACAAATCCGTGGGAAAATGTGGAAAAAAACTTTAAGACACCGAATATCGATTGGTATCGTTATATGTGCGCTATACGAAATTTTGGACCCATACATACTATGTTCCTCCACAGGAGCTAGAACTCACTACGAACTACAAATACGAATTTATGGACAAATCCATGCAAAAATGTGGCAAAAATCATCAAGACACCGAATATCGGGAAGTGGGGGCTAGACCAACGCTACAATGCTTTGCCACCGGAGCTAGAACCCATTAAAAAAAATGAGGGAAAATGTGGCGAAAAATATTAAAATACCGAATATTGGGAGGTGCCGTTATATGGGGGCAATATGAAAACGTGCACATATATCTACAATGATCTGCCACCGCAGCTGGAACCCATTACGAACAACAAATACCAATTTATGGACAAATCCGTGGAAAAATGTGGCAAAAACCTTTAAGACACCGTATATCTGGAGGTACCGTTATATGGAGACTATACCAAAACGTGGACCTTTATATACTATGTTCCGACACCGCATCTAGAGCCCATATAGAACTACAAATACCAATTTTTAAACAAATCCGTCGGAAAATGCGGCGATAATCATCAAAATACCGAATATTAGGAGGTACCGTTATTGGGGGGCAATATGAAAACGTGGATCTATATATACAATGCTCTGCCACCGTAGCTGAAACCCATTACGAACTACAAATACCAATTTTTAAATAAATCCGTGGGAAAATGTGACAAAAATCATCGAAATACCGAATATCGGGAGGTAACGTTATATGGAGGCTAGACCAAAACGGGGACTTTTATATACTATGTTTCGCCACCGGATCTAGAACCCCCTTACGAACTACAAATACCAATTTTTAGACAAATCTGTGAAAAATATTGCAAAAACCATTAAAATACCTAATTCGGGGGGTACCGATATAGGCGGGCAATATGAAAACGTGCACATGTATGTACAATGTTCTGCCACTTTAGCTGAAAACCATTATGAACAGCAAATCCCAATTTTTAGACAAAGCCATGGAAAAATGTGGCGAAAACCATTAAAATAACGAATATCAAGTGGTTCCGGCAATACTATAAGGTGGACCGATTTATCTTATTCTCAATACCAGCCATTCTAAAAGCAATACAAATTATTCTGCCAAATTTTGAAGCTCTACGTCAAATAATGTGGACTGATCGTGATTTCATCAGACAGACAGATGGACATCGTTAAATCGACTTATGCTGATCATGAATATACAAGGGGGAGATGAAAAAACTGCAACCAAAATCAGACTGCTGTCATTACTAAGCCACTCGTCCGACAGCTGTTAAAATTATTAAAGTGACAGCTCATTATATTGTTTAGACGCCAGAAAAAAAGTTATTCGCGATGGAATTCAAGGATGATAGTGTGATTTCTTTATATTTGGCTGGAAAATCACAAGGGGCTATCCTTAGGGCAATCCAGCATTTAAATGGGAATAAATCTTTTGTGTCTTCTCCTTACCGTGATACTGGTAGCATAGCCCAACATGAAGTGGACGGAAGAAAACAGCAACATCAGCAGAAATGGTTCGAAAATTAAAGAAGCAACTTGATCGAAACCAGCGTCGCAGTGGCCGAAAAGTGGCTCGCGAGCTGAACATATCGCAATATTCCATTCGGCAAATATTGAAAAATGAGCTCGGCGTAAAGCCATTGAAATTCCAAAAAGTGTAAGAACTTACACCGCAACAGAAAGAAAATAGACTCAAAAAAGCTAAAAAGTTGTTTCGCTTGGCCGAAAGTGGTGAACTGCCGAATTTGGTTTTCTCCGATGAGAAAACATTCGTTGTCCAGACGTTTGTAAACAAAGAAAATGATCGTGTTTACTTGCCATAGAGGTCAGCTGAACATTTGAACTTTCGGTTGGCCACCAGAGCTCAAGCGCGGCCATGGTGATGGTGTTGGCCGCCATAACAGGTCGCTCTCCGCTCGTATTAATTGACCGTTGCATCAGAATAAATGCCGAATATTATTGCGAAAATATTCTGGAGGATGTGTTAAAGACTTGGGCATGCAAACATTTTGGCCGCAAAACCAACAGAACTCAGCAACATCCAAGAATGGTTACAAAATGAGGTTCCTCGCTTCATTTCCAGCGCACAATGGCCACCAAAATCTCCGGATACCAATCCGTTGGACTACTGTGTCTGGAGTATTATGGAAAGCAAGGTTTTCACTAAAAAATACCAAAGTGTCGATCACATCAAGCAAGCGCCTCGCCGGGAATGGGTCAAAATACCGCAGAGCAACATTCGGGCAGCGTGTGACGGTTTCTTTGGCCATAATTCGTGCCAAAGGTGACCAATTCGAACAAATCTAAACTTATTCTTAAATTTGATGCAATTTTTGGTTTCATTCAATATAATTTAAAAAAAATGTAAAAATTATGGCGTTTGACTTTGTTCCAGTTTTTTTTTTATCTCACCCTATATATGGAGCAGAACCCAAACATAGACCTAGTATAGCAGGCTATTTAAATTTAAGAATTTCTAGTCAGAAGTTAAATAGTACGGACTATATTATACCGGCGAGGGTAAAGCGACTCTGAACTTACATATAGCCAGAGCATGATTATTTTAAGGTGAGTCACTATTGACAACTAATTGAGTTCGGATACACGAACTGTTGATATTGAAATTAATATTTGTTCAAGGTCCAATGATATGTATTATTTTATAATTTTCTTTATTTCATCTTCCGGATTAATATCACTTATTGCAGATCTTTCTAAATTTTATCCTAAAAGGAATTTAATTACTCTTTGAAGGACATGAAGATAAACTCTATACTTCATGTTTATTTCGTATAGTCTCTGAAGATTTTTAATTTCTACTTTACTTTAAATCTGATCTTACAACTATTTCCTAAAATGATATATATTCTTCATTGAAAATTATTATATTTTAGTTCCACACAACTAAAGAAAAATTCGAATAAATGATTATCAATCAATAACAAATACGAACAGAGTGATTATCATTCTTTCATTACTCACCAATAGCAGGAGACATATGAACAATCAGCAATTTTGGGAAATAACAAATCTGTGGTCATTTTGAAAATCCAATGTGATAAATGATGTCAACGGGGAGGGAGCGGGAGCAGGAGCTGGTCCGGTTTTTATAGGCGGTTTGGTGTTGGTGATGCTAGTTCTGGTTGGTGGTGGTTTGCCAGCAACGGAATACTCTTTTATTTTTGCCCGTTGAATTTTTAATTAAAAGTGTACGAATAAATGTGTGTTTTTTGTTCGCTTTTTATCTCACTTTCTTGAAACAACAAAATGAATCAGAAACATAAAACGAGAGCACAACGAACTTTTTTTTGCAATGTTGGAAATTATGTTGCTCCTAAAAGTAGGCACGTTTTTTCTTCACTTTACTTTAATTACTAAAATATAAAATTACAACGTAGATTTAATTTAAACAAAACAACACTAAAACAATTCTTTTTTTTTTTATTTATTTATCCGGTTTAGTTTTCTTTCTCTTTTGGGTTTTTTTTTTTTTTTTTTTCTTTTTTGAATTTGAGAAACCAGCTTCCAAAACGTTGGATGCACCACTCAGCAAGAACTCTCTTTCAGCCACTCATCCAAATGAATTTCGTTTGGTTGTTGATGAAAATTGCATTTCGGTACAAGTTTTTGAGGTCGTTTCGTTCGTATCGTCCTTCCTTGCCGACTGCCTGCCTGGCTGACGTGGTGCCCAAAAAGAGATGTGTGACTGTGGATTAGGGAGAACCAAGAAACACAACACAACACAAACTTCAAAACGTCCGCGTTATCCTTCTCCCTGGGTTTGTTTTCGTTTTGACGAATTTCGTAGTTCACAGACAGAGTCGACGACACATTGCTGGGTGCGTTGTAAAGGAGTTATGGCAAGGGTTTGTTCTTCTTTTTCAAAAACTGGTGTTATTGTTTTGTATAAAAATCTACAAATCTTAGTTGGGAGTAACAGCAGCTTATCTTGTCGGAGTTACAAGGAGAGCTATGGGGAAACACGTACACCTAACTAATTCCAATGGTATTTCTGGAGACCGGAGTCGAGATTTTTCGAATGAAAATATGTTCTTCCGTCTCGATTCCTTGTTTTCTCTGAGTTCATTTGACTATTGCAATATGTTTTGAGGTTTGTTTCGGGGGCGAACCTTCAAGGCACCTTTTGTTGTTTTCCTCTAAACTGAAAATTATTGTATTTCCGCTTTTGCTTGCTTGTTGGGTTGTGGAAGAAGGTGTTAAGTTGTTGACACCTTTGCCGCACAGTTAAATGTCGCGTTTTATTGGGAAATTTTATTTCCTTTTATTTTCTACTTTTTTTGTTTGGCTCGTTTTACATTCAATTTAATTCTCGTCTACGTTTTGTGAATTTTTTATGTTGTGTTTTTCTGTATGCGTATGCTGTGCTCCTTCGTTATTTGTCGTGTTGGTGGTGATGGCGACAGTTGTAGAGCAGGAGCAGCAATTGTATTCAACTCCTTTGGCTTTTAGTTTAGTTTTAGTTATTTATTATTTTCTTGTTTTTCTTCTGGTTCTTTTCTGTTTTTGTGGGGATAAATACAACAAATGCAACGTTGCGTTGTGTCGTTGCGAGAGGACCTCCGTACGCGTTCCCGGTTCTACATAAACTCAACTAGAACTTTTTGCTTGTTCGCAATTTAAGGAATATTCTTGTGAATTGTTGCTGCTGCTGCTTTTGTTGCTGTTGTTGTTGTATGTAGCACAAAACATTGAGTAAGGCAATGATTTGCGTGAGAGTAGACGACTTCGTTGTATGGGCGAGAGTTTCTTGCTCGACGACGAGTGTGTGTGTGGTAGTATTGATATAATTTTTGGGGGTTGGAGCCTGGTGACTACTGCTCCGGTCTGTTTGGAGATGTTGGAGTATTTAAGAGCAAATGGACTATGGTCTCAGATGCTTTTCTGTTTTCGATTCAAATCAAAAACAAAATGGATATCCTTAAAGTTATTACTTTTTTTCATTCATTTCATTGAAAATTAAGTCATTTTCATTATCCTAATGCATTGACATTACGCATTAGTGTGAATTTTCTCAAATCCCAACATATGTAATTACCCATGTTTGTCATTAAAAATGTGTCACCAGCCGTCGTAGTCATCGTCGTGGTCGGTTGCTGTTGTTGTCAAATGAAAACACCAGAGAGTGCTTAAAAGGATAATTTCACAAATGCATGTCTGCAAATATAAAAAGCGTTTTATGTTAATTACTTTGAAAAAATATATCATTCACACACGCACACACACATATGCGTGCGAGAATGTGTACGTGCGTAACTGTTTCATTGTGGTAATGGCTGTCTGGTTAAGAAGGTGATTATAATCAGACAAAATCATTTATATGAAAATGAAAATAAAAATTAATAACTTGCAAAATACTTATGAAATTGAAAAACATAATCTGAAACACCTCGTATGCGGAATTCATTGAGGTATTGTGTGGAGTTAAGATGTGGCATATTTGATTTGTTTTCCCGAAATAACTTTAAAGCTAAATAAATGAAAATCGGTTATTTGTGACATGGTGGTATATCCTGGATGTTTTAATTTCTGAGAAATAGAGCTATTCATGAACGTCAAAATACCTAATTTGAGTAATGTCCTCCTATGACTTCAATATCTACTTTAAAACAGACAGATGTATACCCGCAGTCTTGAGCTATGATTATTCAAGCTGTTGACCCTTTATGGGGTAGGTTCCGAAGCAGTTGGCCAATATTGACCAATTCGTATCTGACCTAAGACTGTACTTAGGTCTTCCTATACTTCCTATACCTTATATAAGATATGTGCAAATTTTTGGAAAATGTGGAAATATGCGTGAGGTAACATATATAGCGGACCGAAGTATTCAATTTTCATACTTCATCTAATACAGATAAAATATTGGTATGTGAAAAATTTGAAGGAAATCGAACACTTATATCCAATTTTATGCGATTTCTGGTTAAGAGAAATATTTAGAAATGGCTAGTTGTAAAGGATCTTGGATCAAGCTATGACAGATATAAGTATTGAAAATTGTGACTCTTAGTGGGTGAGGTACCAGAAGGGGTTGGCAGATATATATATCATCTTCACAGCAGATCTTGCGGTAGCAAAAAAATTTATATGTGTGAAATTTGCGTTTTGTTTACAAAATCTTGAACCATATGTGGGGGAGGTACCTGAAGAAATGTTGAGATCTCTACCATATTTATAACAGATCTTATGTTTATGGAAATATTAAGTTGGAATGGAACCGGATGTTAATTTCGTGTTTTATGAGATTCATGGATATTCAAAATGTTGACCCTTTGTGGGGGAGATACCATAAGGAGTGGACCGATATAGCCCATCTTTACACCAAACCTTGGGGTAATAAAAATATTGTGATGAGTGTAATTTGAAGAGAACCGAACGCTTATTTCAGATTTTCTGATCGTTTTGGTTATTCAAAACTTTTATCCTTTGTGGGAGATGTATCAGAAGAAATGATCCGATTTCCACCGTCTTTATAACAGATCTTATGTTTATAGAAGTATTGAGATTTACCAAGTCTGAATGGAGTCGGATGTTAATTTCGTGTTTTATGAGCTCCAAAAATATTCAAAATTTTGACCCTTTGTGGAGCAGGTACCGGAAGGATTGGACTAATATATACTATCTTCACACCAGACCTTGGGTTAATAAAAATATTGTGATGTGCGTAATTTGAAGATAACCGGATGCTTATTTCGGATTTTATGATCGTTTTGATTATTCAAAACTTTGATCCTTTTAGGGAGAGGTATCAGAAGAAATGGTCCGATCTCCACCATCTTTATAACAGATCTTATGTTTATGGAAGTATTGAGATTTACCAAGTCTAAATGGAATCGGATGTTAATTTCGTGTTTTATGAACTCCAAGGATATTCAAAATTTTGTGTCTTGTGGGGCAGGTACCGGAAGGACTAATATATTCCACCTCAACGCTAGACCTTGGGCTAATAAAAAATATTGTGATGAGTGTAATTTGAAGAGAACCGGATGCTTATTTCGGACTTCATATTTTTGGCTTTTCAAAACGTTGAATCCTTGTGGGTGAGGTACCAGAAGGAATGGTCCGATCTCCACCATCTTTATAACAGATCTTGTGTTGATGGAAATATTGAGATGTGCCAAGTCTGTATGGAATCTGGTGTTAATTTCGTCTTTTATGAGATTCATGGATATTCAAAATTTTTAACCTTTGTGGGGGAGTTACCAGAAGGAGTGTACCGATATATTCCATATTCAGACAAGACCTTGGGTTAATAAAAATAATATCGCGCGCACCAGCCAGCCAGACAGACAGACGGAAATCGCTAGATCGACCCCAAATGTTCTGAAACGGATTTGATCCAAAGAGACCTAGGGTCTAAAACCGTTATTTCGATATGGAACGTTTTGATCGTATCAAATGATATATACCCTCTCTAGCCGTATGGCTGTGGGTATAATAAACTGTACTCATATGGATAACATTTTAGAGAATCCGTTTTAAACATTCTACAAATTACTTGATTCTTCCATTGAACATGGGGAAGCATTTTGCTGAAAATATTGTTGAACTTTCCAAAATGCTGTAAGTCGGAATACGAAGCTATAATACGGAATTGAAATTTTTATAATCCAATTAGATAAGAAAATTCTGTCTGCTCTAACTGAATGATTTCTTTCAGAATTTTCGAAGCATATGGATCCATTTTTACCAACTCAGACTAATAAATCTGATTGTTTTAATTTCAAATGAATTTTTATCTTTGATTGCGAAATTCTGTAGGGATACGAGTATTTCTTTTGTAGATAGGGTCAATGATGACATTTCAATATAGTCCTTACAAATTGTATTATTTTTAACTACAATATAACTTTTCTTCCCATTTGGACTACCATGACCTACAACCCCATGGCATCCCATATTGTCATAAATCAACTTAAGTGTCTCCATGTAAAAGCCACAGGTATATATGTGAGTCTCTCCTTCATTCATTTGAAATCAAAAACTGCAACCCATAAAGCGATGCCTCATACAAACAACACAAACATTTGCCTTAAATCAACTTTGACCTCGTTTTAATTTCCTCCATGCGAGCGGCGATAAATTTCCAAAAAAGAAATGATTCATGGCTTCCGATTGCCTAAAAAAAATACAGCAAGTCGGTCTAGCGTCGTTCATAACACCATCTAGTATATGCTAATTTCAAAATAATTCACTGTTGATTTACAATCATTGTCTTATTCATCTCCGGAGGCTTCGAAAAAGGATGAAAATATACACATATCCTCTCCAATATATGTCAAATACGACCTCTACTACTCTGCAACAAGCGAAGCATACTCTCTCCGCCATACATTCGCTCAATCCA